TATTTAGTCCTTGAATTTGCTGATACATGTTCTTGAATTTGATTGTTCCACAATTGTTCGAACCCTGTATAAGTCTGTATTGGTCCCGATTTTCTGTTATGAGAGTTATTTAATCCACATGCCATGCACAAGTGTTTATTGCTAAGAAAAAGAAAGTCGGTCCCAGATTGTCCCAATTCCCCCCCCCCCCCGCTCCTCCAGTAATTTGTTGAATGCACCCCTGCATATACAAAATACATTTAAAGACAAGTCATGCAAATTTAAAAATTAAACGAGACTTACCTGTAAGTTGAAGTTTAATTTGAATTCCCCCTAGTGCCCATGTTGTTAATTATAAATACTGTGGTACTGTTGTCTACCATTATTTTAACATGTTTGCCTGTTAATTTTGGAGCAAATGATTTTAGTGCAAACAATGCTGCTTTAATTTCAAGTATATTTATATGGTGTTCAGTCTTCTGTTTGCACCAGTTCCCTCCAGTAGATTGGTCACCCAGGGCTGCACCCCCAACCTGTCATAGAGGCATCGGAATAAAGTACAATATCAATTGGGGTTGGAAGAATCTGTTTAAAGGAGCCCCTTAAATTTTTCAACCACCAATTTAATTCCGCATTAGCATCCTTAGAAATAGTCATCGAAGCCTCAAAATTGCCCTTGTGTCTAGATAATGCTATGGTTTTTTCCTTATCAAGTTTACGATAGTGGCTATTTTGCGCATGCGTATGCTCTCTCATACAACTCTGACACGACCATAGCTGATGACGTAGTAGAATTGATGGTTGTTCAGAATAGTTGCAGTATAAGGTTGGCCAACAGAGAGATGAAAAGTGACTGCTTGACACAACAAATTTTCAAGTTATTGTGCTCCCTCTCTATTTTCAATGTAGATATGTCCGGGAGAACTATGCTGACAGTGATAAAATAACAGAAAAGGTGACAATTAATCTCTTTTAGTTATTTCTTTTAATGACATACACCAGCTTTTCTCATGGTGGTGCATCCCAAGAAGTCACTCCAATTTGTTTGACTCTTGCTGTCATGAGAATACACTGGCGTATGCATCCATATTGTTTCCATCTTACATCTTACTTGATGGTTGTTAATTTTATGTTTCCCAGCTGCCTGCAAATGGTGCAGCACAAGGATTAGGCAAGGGAATAGTCACAGCTTGGAGTTTGTACGGAAATGAAAGGTGAAACACAAGTCATAATAGATGTTTTGAAATTCACATTGGACAATTTTTATAATATGTTTAATGTAATCTCAATCTCTCGTTTTGTGTTTCAGTGCCGTTGTTTTAATGGTTGTTCAAAGTGGTGAAAAAAACCGTGTTGACCAGCGAGTGTTAGAGTATAGTATACGACAGAGGTAAGAAAGTTTAGTCCTGCAGTTTTTCGTTTTCATTGTGAAAGGTAGTTTTGACTGTAGCGGTAGTATTTTGTTTGCAAGTGTTGCATTGAGGCTTTAGTGAGAATGAATGATGCTTGTTAGCAAACCGCGAGATTTCAGAGCACAACCATTATTTTAACAGCAATCCTGCTGTTAAAGTGATCAGAAGAACTTTACAAGAAATCGAGGAGAATGGTGAATTAAAAGACGACAAAAAACTTGTCATGTAAGTCAACTATTCAGCGTTTTATAGGGCGAAGGCACCGCAGAATTGATTCACGACAATATGTTTTATTCTAGTGACGGTAAAGAGATTGCAGTAGCATATTTCCGAGCAGGTTATACACCAAAAGATTACTATTCAGAAAAGGTAAATCAACTCTTACTAAACTATGAACGTGAAGACATTAAGAAGTGATCTTTTCATATAGAATTGGGAGATGTAGTTTGAGAGATGTACTTGCTTCTATAAATCAGGGCAGGAAAAAAATTTTCTTCCTGGGAGAACAACCTATAGAGACAAAAATTCCCTGCAGACCAACGGAGTATGTTTATGCTAAATCTGCATGTGCATAAACATACAGTGTTCTAGTTGCATGACCATGGTTTTAAATTCAAGGAATAATGTCTGTCAACCTGTCATGAACCATATGTTGTTGCGCCCATAGTGGGACATGGGTGTTAAGGTTTCTTTCAAATTTTCAACAACAAATCTTCATTCAAACGAATTTCCTGCAGCTGTTTAACCTTTCCTGCGCGCATTGCTCGCGCGTGCTCGCCTATTTTTTCCACCCCTGCTGTAAATGTCAGCATTTCTCGAGTTGACCACCAGTCCACCACACCTGGTGAGCTAACTTGAGATGATCACCATCTAATGCCTGGTTGCGTTAACTGAAATCCACCATATCTGTTCTGTACAGGATTGGTCAGCGCGGTTAAAACTGGAACGATCGCGTGCAATAAAATGTCCAACAATCGCGTATCAACTGGTGGGAACGAAGAAGATCCAACAAGTACTCGCAGAGCCAGGAGTGGTTGAAAGGTGGAGACTTTTTTTACCCATTCATGTAGCAACATTGGTAGTTCTGTAACAACTTAACAACTCGAGTGATACCAACAACCCATTTCTTGATGTGGTCAGAGTCATGCGACTTGAATCGTAATTTTTGTGACTTGACTTTGTTCATCAGATTGACGACTTCTTGACTGGACTTGGACGAAATGACTTGTGACTTGGTCACAGACAAAATGACTTGTGACTTGCAAGAAATGACTTGACTTGCACTCTTAACTCTGGACGTGATAGTCTGAGTCCAAATAGGGTGCTCTACTTTGACAATTTTAAACTTCTAGGTTTCTGGATGATCCAGAGATGGTAGCGAGAATACGAAAGACTTTTGCTGGACTTTTCTCACTGGACAACGTACGTTAAACCATCATAGTTTACACCGATGACTTTACCAATATTGTACACGAGTTTACTTACAATCTTAAAAGTTGTTAGTTAAGTAAAAATAATGCATACAAACTTGTCTTATCTTATCTTTACGCAGGGGGAAGAAGGGAATAAGAATGCAAAGATGGCGATTGAAAATCCTGATCGTTTTGTTGTCAAACCACAACGGGAAGGTGGAGGTACTAGATAAAAAATTATCAACTACAGATTACATGCACAGAACACTTAAAACTTGACGAACCATAGCTGTGGGAATAGATACGAGTTGCTTTCATATATCTAACCATATAAAGCGCTTTTATGCCCATTGCTACCGCCATTCACATATATCATTTAAATGCTTGGTCACCTCGGTTTCATTTCTATGCTTACATTATCAAAACAGTTGTAACTATGCAAGTAATCAAAAATGTCATTTGCCACGAGCCCATATCATAGAATTAATTTTATTTTTATAATTTAATATAATTATTATATTAAATCCATTTTTAGGTAACAATATCTATGGCGAAGAAATACGTGACGTGTTATCAAAGGAGGATAATTCACGTACTCAGTATGTTTTGATGGAGAAAATACGACCACCCGTTCTCAAGAATTATATTGTGCAAGTTCATAAAGATGAGATCTTAGAGGAAGATGTCGTCTGTGAATATGGAGTGTTCGGTGTTGTTATTAGGTGAGAGCTTGTCAACGCAAACCAAAAAGTTTTGTACAACACGGCCGCTCATGTTGTAAATAGTAGAGACCTTACGACTTTAGGACGGCAACGCGACGGCGACGGCTACCAATGGAATAATTACAATATATGAATAATTTAGACATTGTCCTTCGCTCTGTTTACAACGCCAAGTCACAGATTTTCACGTCTTGATACAACGGCTGCATTTCAAGCTGCAACAAGTGCAACTTCAAACTGGGTTCAGCAGAACTCTTCCCAACCATAAAACCCATGTCTTCAACTTCTAAGACTGTATTAAATTCATACGATTGATAATATACGACGAATTATCTTTACTACCATTTATTTGAAGTTTGTTTTGCCCGTCGTCGTCGCGTTGCCGTCCTAAAATCGTAAGGTCTCTTGTAATTATCGGATACAACACGGACACGAATGTTGTAAACGGCTTGTGAAACAACGTGTTGAGAACATTCGTATATTCTTCAACAATTTAAAATAAATGAGTAATATTTGGTGAGAAAATTGAACTTAAAGTTTATGTAAATCAGCATGATTTCTGTATCAGAGTACAAACACCTTCACGCTCATGATTTCTTTTGTGTTTTCTTCATGAATTATTAATGATTCTTGGAACTAGCAAAATATCGGCCTAGTCATGCAATATAGCTGACAAACGATGAGACAGCAATTTGAATCTGACGTCGTTGTATAAAATATCTTAACCAAAAGCTGACACATATACGATGAAACAGCAATTTGGATCTGACATTTTTAATAAAATAAAAAGTGATGACAAACAATAATGAAACAGCAATTTAGAGTTAGCAAAATATCTTAGTCATGCAATAGCTGACAAACGATGAAAATTTTTTATCTCACGTTTTTAACAAAATATCTTAACTGAGAGATTACAAACGATGAAACAGTAATTTAGTATAAGCAAAATATCCTAGTCATACAATAGCTGACAAACGATGAGACAGCAATTTGAATCTGACGTCGTTGTATAAAATGTCTTAACCGACACTGACAAATACGATGAAACAGTAATTTGGATCTGACATTTTTTACAAAATATCTTAACTGAGAGTGACAAACAATAATGAAACAGCAATTTAGAACTAGCAAAATATCTTAGTCATGCAATATAGCTGACAAATGATGAAACAGCAATTTTTTATCTGACATTTTTAACAAAATATCTTAACTGAGAGATTACAAACAATAAAACAGCGGTTCAGGTCGCCACTGACGTTAGAAGATCCCTAAGACTCTCTTAAACTCGTGGAGGTAAAATGGCCCTGGATACGAGGTTGTTAGGTTGTTAAACTCCCAACAAGAAACGTAATTTATGTCAATTTATGTTTCATTGTAGTGACGGTGACGAGATAGTTGAGAACAAAGTAGTGGGTCACCTGTTGCGAACTAAGAGTATTATTCATGATGATGGAGGCGTGGCTGCTTTGCGTGCTGTCCTTGACAGTCCTTGTCTTGTGTGACTGGATTTCACTGCTTGTAACTAATGAATTATTATGAATCTAGAGCTGCTCGATAGCCTTGTCTTGTACGACTGAATATGGTGTTTAATACAGATCAGTGGTTGGAACTGAATGATCGGAGGATCCTGGACTAAGACGATTGCTACGAATATTGAATTAAAACATTGAATTAGGATGATGAATAACAAGGTGTATATAGACTTAGGTTAATAAATTGTCAAACTTTATTAATAATTTTATAATCAAATAATTAAATCACTCGTGTAATGCAGTTAGATCATTGATTGGCTCATGATGCGCGTCCTATTGTAATAATTAAATCGATTTTAGCATTAGCTGTTATGTTTCCACTTATATGCGTTCAAGTTTCACTATTTTCCCACGGTTTGAAACTCCTCTCCGTCGCAAATCAAAAACAAAGGCTGACCATCTTCCAAAGCGAGGCAAAGTAAACAACTGAGTATGGTCATCATATGTAACCTCTCATCCAGCGGTAACCGCTTCGTGACAATTCTCGCGAGTTGCGCGTGTGTCACGAGTGGGTCGGGTTCGTCATAAAACCACGCGGGAGCACCAACCCCATAACGTTGCATCATCCTGTTCCCAAAGGTCACGTGATAGTTGATATCCCAACCCAAAGGCTGTAACTTCTGTATACGACAGTCCAATGCCTGCAAAAGTTTCGCCCGCACATCCTTGTCAGGCTCTGACGTAATCACCTCCCTAATATCTTCAAGCGGGCCATAGTAGATACGATTAGAGTCTGGGAATACATGAAGTATTATACGTTTCTCCAGTTGTAATACAATCTCACCAAGTGTATGTTTAATCAGCTTTCGCGGCGCGTTTAAAACCTATAGGGGAAAGAACGGTTTTTATTCAATTACACAGAAGTATGCATTGGATAGTTCTTGTTTCTTAAGATCGATTTACACTGCACAACTTTTGCCTAAAACTGTCGCATGCATCCTGCACACAGCTTGAATTGTACTGTGTAAATCAAGCACACAACTCGCCTACAATGTGAAATATTTCTCACAAGGTAATTCAAATACAAACAACAGCAGTTTATTGTGGAATACAACCCACACTCGTGGACCTGTAGTGCTTATCTTTGGCTTCATTTAATGGAACTTTAAACGAATGTTAGGAGTTAACGCAACACTGCTAGTCCATCGCAATTTAACCTGCGGAAACTGAAATGACTTAACCCAACTAAGAGGAGCTAAAATCCTTACACTAGACGCGTCTCTGTAGTAGATATAAGTTCTCTGCCAGAGCGTGATTAGGTGGGAGACGGAAATAGAGAGCCTGGTTTGCGAGGTTGAGTCAACGACTCTATAGGACAACGCTAGAACAATAAGGTACGGTACCTTAAACGGGACTCTTAGCTTGAGTAAATAGTTTAAAACTGGTAGAGCTATCCAGTATAAAGAAGTTATATCAGTGCTCAATGAAATTAAGAAGAAGACCTGAGGTATTCTGCCATAAACTGCGCTTCCAACTTTCTTCGGATGTAAACTTCTGCTTGATTCACTTTTGAACTCCTCGCAAGAACACGTATTGTCATGACTTGAACACCTACGACCACTGACTGTTGATGGTGCGTTCACTGTCCTTGATCTTTCAATCATCTTTTCGTAGAATGAACGTTTCTTGTACATCTCTTCAAACTGTTTCGACGCCCTTGCAACGTTTTTCGCCAGCTCCCTTTGTTGAGCAGCAGAGCGTCTTGCTAGTTTCTCATCAACCAAGTCACAACTCATGTCAAGCGAGCTTGTTTTATTTTTGTTGTATAATTCTCGAATGTCGTCTATCAGGTTGTCCACTGAAGGCCTACTAACGTTACGAGACATGTTTTTGTCATGCGCACCAACTCTTCTGTTCAGAGTAATGAGGATTCCTTTTGTGACGTCACAAATTGCATGTGACGCAACGTACGAAAACTAAAAATTTCGAACTCATTCTCGTTCCCAGGGCCTCTCGGTCGAGCGCGACCCTCATAGGCCCTAGGATACATGGAACCGGAAGTGCAAGAAAACTTGCAGTAGTTTCTAAAGCACATGATACTCTTGAATTGGGACGCTTTAGCACCCGTAACAGTTTTCAAAGCGACGTATTACGAAGAAACAAAGTATTTGTGTTGATATATTTTGATCGATAGAATAATTTTGCCTGGCGAAAACTGCCCAACTTCTGCGAAATAGCAGTTCTCTGTGAAGCCAATCATACCTCTCCCTTTAGTCGTCTAACCCAGAGCCTAATTTTCAACGAGTGACCGAGTGAAAATGGCGCTGGGGACGAGATGCCTCGAACCCAGACTTTCCTTCTGAGCGCAGAATGAAAGGCTGGGTTAAAAGATTGTAACATTAACTTGAATTTATTGATAAGATGTCATTTTCACTCGCATTTTCACGTCTCTACAACGCCAGCATTTATTATTTTAGAAAAGTGAATCCAAGGGCAAAGATATGTATAATCGCTTAAGGAACTTGATGGAGTTTCTTTTTCAGTACCCAACGTATTAATTATTCACTATTCAGTATTTGTAGGATACCGCTGAAATTGTTTCTCACGGACTCAGAAGAGCGCATGTTCTTCGTGTGAGCGAACTGACAAATATAGAAACCATTACTTTGTTATGAATAAATCCATCTGATTGGGTTTTTTGGTCACGTGATCGCTTTTATATTCACTGGTATAAAACAGTCTTAAAAGCTCATGTAATTTTCCCGACCTCCGCTACTAACTTCCTGATGAAGAGCCTTTGGCAAAATAATCAAAGCTCTCCTTGACCTCATATTTTTCATGTAGTCGTATCCCTATCAATACACAGTTTTCATACAAATATCTGTTGTTCATATTATTTTATTCGAAATTTCTTGACAATAATCCATTGGAATTGCACACAGTTTTGTCGTTCACCGTGATGTCTGATGAACATAATTTTTAATGAGGATACCAACTTCACAAGTAGTGCTACTAGCGGTTTATAGAAGGGTCCTCGACTAAGTAAACATATATTAAAAATAGTTAAATTACTAATGAAAATAACTAGACAGAACAAACAAGTCATTACAATTCAGTTTTTTTCGAGGCGGTTCTTAAATGAGGTTATCGAGGTGGAGCTTTTTAGATCGTTATTCAAACTATTCCAGACTTCAGAAACAAAATTTATTGTCAGTCCAGTGACCCCACTTCCTCGACGCCTTGATTTTCCTGATGTTATTCTTAGATCTGGTGTTATATATCTATGGAAATCACAATTAAGTTGAAAACGAAATTGGTCGGATAACATATTATTGATGGCCTTATATGCAAATATGGCCCGATGCTCGGCTCTTCTACGTTTTAAGGATTTCCATTTAAGCTTATTTCGGAATTCACTTTTCTTTGAATTTCATCAGTCGAAGATGATGCAAACGACAAAACGGTATCATCTGCATAAAGAGTTACATCACATTTTGACAAACTTTGGCAAACTGCAAAACCATTTTGGCAGTCTACCTTTGGCTTTGGTTTGTTGTTACTCGAACATCTAGATTATCTGTACAAAGTCAAAGATTTAAAAGGTTAAGCCTTCTCAAAGTAAAATATTAAGCTGGATAACTTAACGCTTGCCTTTGTACGAAAAGAAATTACTCTTTGTCCTTGACAACATCCGACTTTGTCACCCTCTGTCGGGGCGGCTCTGAAGCTGACAGTGACATATAGTGATATGGCTGTTATCATATGGACCCATCTCTAAAAGGAAAGCACAACGCAGGGGCACTGCATGGATATATGCATGTATGCCATGAGGTACCTTTTCCTGACAAGTTCCTCTTCAGAGATAAGTCGATGAAGCCAACCATATCACTGTGTCACTCTCAGCTTCAGACAACAGGGGGCAACTGAGTGGTTTTAAGAGATATTCTGATATTGATATTCAGAGTTTTGTTCAAAGCCTCTTTGTTTGTGTACTCGTAGTTTTCAAGTGGAAGTAACGATTAACAACGGATACATTTTATGCCGTGACACTGTGCCTAATGAATGGATAAATACGATGTATTGTAGGCTGTAGGGGTGTAGCCCGCACTAAACATACCTCACATAGGTGTACAGACGGGGAAAAATTGGGGGGACGAAAAATAGTTTGCCCGCCATTGTCACTGATGCCTGATGGAAATTGCCCGACATTATCATGGGTTTATTGATAGAGAAGGTAAAGAGAAGGAACACTTCTCCTAAACAGACGCGTGGAAATACAAAGGCAATCTGAAAACAATGAGAAAGATATATATTTACGAGTGTTTATTGGATTTCAATCTTTTAGTAGTTCTCCGATAGTAAACTAATGTTAATCTTAAAATCTCAATATTGATATCACGACAAAACACAATATGCCGAGGCGAGCTAGCCAACGCCAGGCTACAGTGTAAACCCCAACAGAAACACGTAGGCTAAGGCGAGCCTACCAAATCGCCCAGTTTTCAAGTAAAATTTTCCCGACTAAACATGCCGAGTGACTGGCGGATGCCCTATGGCTATGGTTCCCGATACTGCGAGAGCGATCCCGATCCACATTTTAACCCAAACTTTGCGGGCCGAAGAAGGGAGCTTCACTCGAAACGTCGAAGTTCTCCTTTTCAGGTAGTTGCATCCCTAGCAATCTGAAGCTTTGTTATTACCGTCACTGTATATATACCAGCTTGTATTACACTGGCGAGAACCCACGACAGAGATCAAAAGACGTGCATTTCATGATCAGGGTCTACGACTATTTTATGCCGTGGGCTGGTGGAAGTAGCGTTTTGCCGTTTTTTGTCCTTCAAATATATACAGCCTGCTGTTGGTATGCCAAAATAGCTCTTCCGGTTGTCCACTCGAGTTGACAAATAGAGTGTGGCTATCTAATTAATGAGATGTCGTGCAGTGTATAATAAATGACTTTAAAAATATCTACATTACAAGGTTATGTTCGAAGATATTAATATAACACTACCGAATTTATAGTTATCCAACTTATATAACCCTCACTTATGATTTTGATACGCAATTGAAAATATTAAATGATTAATGGAATAATGATTCGGGTTTCGAGCGGCTTTATCAAGAGGCGGGAAAAATTATATGCAAACGTGATATGGCACGCCTCGATTGTTTGTCATTACATATTTTCATAACTCACTTATAACGTCAATTCTGCCTTCAAAATACGATCTTAACTTATCATTTCAAGTTTATTGTTTGGTCCTACAAGATCTTGCATACAATACATGTAATTTAACCGTCAGTTTTGTGTGGATGTGTTGGTCTCTTATTGGTCAAAGACTGGAATTGCCTTACGTCATCTTACTATTCATATGCGCAATCAAGTCCGCGTATAAAAGACGAGAGGTCAACAGCCGCCTGTACACTCAAGACAGACAAGCGAACCGAACAGATTATAGAAGAATATCGAAGAGGCTGTGTTGATACTGAACATTTTTCACAAGGTATGTACAGTATACATGGAAGGAGACAAAATCTGTAGAAATATTAATAGTGTTGAATTTTATAAGCTGGTGTTTATTTTGCGCTAGGCATAATACACTCAATACTCAATAGGGTGCTACACGCGCGAGCGGCTGAGCCGTTAGTTCGTTACTGTTTGTACAAAACCATTAAAGTTTGACTTTTAGTAGAGAAAATAGGCGTAGAATTTATGAAATACTTTTCAAATAATGGTCGTTGCGAGTGTAGGTAGCGACAAGACAGCTACAGAGATATACAACTACCTGAACTACCACCCCAAGGGCTGAGAATTGCAAGCATGACGCCACGCGAACGTTTGTTATCGATTGTTCAAGTCGATGATCTTATAAATTATCCACATATCACCGGTGAAAAAAATGTAGTATAGTTCAATTCGAGCGTAGGCGCTTCGAAGGGTCGAAGTTCTGCTTATATTTTTTGTGTTGGGACGGCACATTTCAGAAAAAAATCGCGCAATCTCAACGCCCGGTCACACGCAACAATGTTGGCCCCGATGTAAAACTGTTGCAATATTTGGTCTAAGTCTAAGAATCTTTAGCGTGAAATCATGAGATGTATCCAAATTGAAAATCTGCCTGCTTGAAATTTTTGTGAAACAAACACTATTATAAACAAACTGATGAAAACTGTTGGATGATGACGGGGCAACAGTTGTTGTTGGGTCCGTTTGAGGTCTTGAAATATATATGGACACACTATTTCGAAAACTAAGTCTTGAATCATTTATTTATACACACACAGTCACAGATCATAATTCTAGTCGCAAAAGCATTCACAACAGGCTGATGTCACAACAAAGAACTGTTGCAGCATACTATTTCAACGCTAGCAATTATATACCCGGTTCAAAATACTCGGATGTAAAATCTTAAGTTACTAAGCGTTGTATGGTTTGTCGACAATGCAATGGAGAAAACAGCAAAGGAATTAACGCTCTAATATCGAATACAGAAATTTGATATGAAAACTGGTGTAACTTTCCTAAAATACATTCTCGTTTGCATCACAATTGTCGAATTGATCAATATGTCCAAAAAAACCCAAACTCCGCGTTATTTCGCTTTATTCTGCTCGAAATCAATGCGAACCTCACTTACATAACCCCTAATTCATCCAAAATCCTATTTCCAATCATAATTTCGTGTTTCGAAGAAATTTACGTAAATTTTTTGCGGCTTAAAAATTATGAGCTTAGGAATTTCGTTTTCTTCAAATGGGGAAATCCCCGAAGTGAACTCATGCGTGTGATAGATCTGAGCATGCGCCATTGTCACATGTTATATTCCACGTTGCCAAAATTGACGGGTATTTTGAACTATAAAATAGAAATATAAGGACTTAGCACTTAGCAGCCGTTAATTATGAAGTAGTTGAACTGTATATGTTGGCGTTTTCGTATATTAGTGCCTGTATAATTTGTTTTCAAGATATTTAACGTATATCGTGAATATTGTTCAAAAATATCGCTTCTCTCATAAACGCGTGGCCATATTGCATACAGATGATGCAACACTTGCCTGAATATTAATGAGTTTTCTGGCCAAACCGGTTTGTTCCACTTTGAACTGCCCAGGTCGCGCACAAACATGCCCGGGTTCGAGAACAATACAAGACTTCTGATTGGTCAATTTGTGATAAAAATAAGCACTGAGGTCATACGTTTCATTGTTTCATATAAAAACATCAGCGAAGGGGAAAACCACTTTTACTACACTCGTGTCTGATAACGTACAGACTACGTTTCTATATTTTACTGAGTTATATTGATTGTATATATAGCTGGTCTCATATATTGGTTATTTTGTAGAATGCTTGAAATGGAACTGCCACAGTTACAAAGCGAGGAATTGTCCTTATTGGATTTGCTGGAGCAAACTACGATGGATGGTGCGGCGAGCAACGGCGCACTGAGCCAAGGGCAAGGCAACATCATCAAACGAGATGCGAATCTGGCCTCAACTTGGCACAATACTCCATTAAATATGAGCAGAGCATACGACCAGAGCGAACTTTTCTCCGACACGGAGTCGTTTACGAGCTGTGGCTCTGCAGTTGCTTCGCCGGCAGTCTTCGAGTTCGAGCACACGGAGCAAAACCACTTCAGCTATCTTCAACTGAACGACAACGAGTTAAAGAAGCTCTCTGTCAAAGAATTAAATACGAAGCTCAAAGGACAACCGAAAGAAGTCGTGAATGTGGCAAAAAAGCGTCGCAGGACGCTCAAGAATCGAGGCTACGCACACTCGTGTAGGATCAAAAGGATCCAAGAAAAAAGCAATTTGGAAAGGAGCAAGGAAGAGCTCAAAGAAATAATTGCCAGTCAACGGCAGCAACTGGAGGCAGTGGCAAACGAGCGGGATGTATACAAACATCGGTTCGAGACCCTGATTACAATTCTGGGACAAAATCATAACATTTCTAATTCTGGCTGAAGCAACGGTTACATGCATCAGACAAAGGAAAGACTGAACTTTGTCTTGGACTTGGGTATGCGTCTCATTCTGTATTAGACATGATTATAAACAATCTTGCTGGACTATTACAGTAAGTAACGAACCATAAAAAGAAAGGGTATATAGCTCCGAAAGAATCCAAAAACTCAAACTACATAGTAGCCTACTATGGCAAATTGTTATTACATATTAATGCAGTTATGTTTTACTGTACAATATTATCAAGTACAAGTTTAAACTGATCACGTCTCGAATGCGAGTGTGCGAGAGTTGAGCTTTATATATCTTAATATTCGCACTTCAATTTGTATTTCTTGGTTTCAAAGTTTAAAACTCTGCAATTTATAGCCACCAGCGTGCGCTTGACTTCCGAATATTTTGCGTGACCGTGATTTGTACTTTTAATTTGGCCATGCAAGTTTAAGCTTGAACTCTGGTCAGTTCATTATTTTCACGCAGGCAAAAGCTACTGTGTGCGTTTCGAATCACGTTTTCATAGTTTACTGTATAGTAACGGCAATATTTTCTAAGCGGTTGAATAGCGTGCATATAGTATTTGTTTTGTCCCTCATAACGTTCTAATATTTTGTAATGTTTCAATTTTGCACGTTTCAACTTCGCACGTGCTCAGTAGCGATGCACGCAAAAAATTTGAGGCGAGCTGTAGTCTGCAGAAATGGTTTTAATATTTCAGCAATACATGTTCTTTAGGCAGATATGCTCTCACTAGCCTAAACTTTAAAAGCTAAGCCTAATTTTAAGCACAAACCTTTCATCAAGAGAGTCACACAGTGGTCTTTTTGCTTGAAGTTGAACCAATAAAGTTTAGTTTCGGCCAATCCCGTTTATATATACGTTACTAGAATAAACAAAATATATGTTTTTAAGACAACTCGACCCTACGCTGAGAAGTAACAGTTTGAAATTCAGTTAGGTTAGTGAGATTCTACCACAAAGGACGTGTATTTTTAAGACCGTTAGTTAGGCGTTGCCAACAATGACAACCGTTTGAAAGTATAAATTGCTGCTCCAAAAATATAAAACACAACTCTCGTGCACTCATAATCAAGTGATCAGTTTATAAACTTATTTTTGATAATACAGCAGTGAGCAGTCACTGTCTCACTGACTGAATCTATTCTTAACTTACGTTTGTGCATGGAATTGAGAATTTTTACCACTGTCACATACATTGTCATTGTACATATTAATGTGGATCATGCAAGCAGAGACTGAGAGATACGAAGTATGTTATTGTTGAAATTTTGTTGGGAATATTTATAGTTTGTTTATATATTAAGTGGAGTTAATGACATATTGTTATTGAAATTGAAAAGTTGTGTTATTTTATATAGATGTAGATTGTAGAAGTAATATAATATTGTAAGATGGAAAAGTTATTTTATAAAAAAATAATGGCTGTTCAATTCAGCATAAAACTAAAATATTTGTGTGTTGATTCAGTTACAGCAGTAGCTAGTATATAAATCATGTATTGATTTCTATACTTTTTCTGAATTTATTTTGATGTGTCATGTGAGGAGTTTCATTTTTTAAACTATTGTTGACCAAAGTTTTATACTACCTACCGGTTAAGTAAATACATATACATTATTTAGCCTGAGAGTTAATTTTAAGATGGATCCATCATTGACAGTATGAGTGGGTGTTTAGATTCCTGGTATGAATGCCCTTTGCACCCACAATGATTCAAAACTTTGATTAAAATTACTCAAATTTATGAACAAATTTACTTTAAATGTTTTGAGTAAAGATTTGCTCTCCAAAAAAATGAGCATATTTGCTCATAAATTTCAGTAATTTCACTCATTTTGAATCACAATGGGTGCACTATTTTATTCAATTTTTTAGTCAAATTTTCTTGCATGAAGTGAACACTTTTACCCTATAAACTCCAAGAACATCTTTAGTGAAGTTTGTTTGTTCACAGCTAATTTGTTGCTGATTTGCAACAGGCAGGATTTTGGCGGGCATGGGTCCTCCCCCGTGCCGGCCAAAATCCTGAATGCTGCAAATCAGGCCCCCCATAAAATGGGCCTGCCACACAGGCTAGTTCACAGCAACCAAGTATATTAAGCATGTTATCACTCACTACTCTGGTTTATATATATAAATGAATAACAAAGCCCAGTCAAATTGTAATCAAGACCCAAGTTTTGTGGCTCTTGATTACAATTCAACTGGGTTTTATCCCTGAGGCAGCACTTTCCTTGCAATAGTAATTCCTAGTTTATATATAAACCAGAGTACAGTAGTGAGAAAAAACATGATCTTTAGTGAAATTTAACTCAGTTTGAGGCCAACTATAATTCCACAAGTATTGACCTGTGCTATATGGCCTCTCATATAATACAACTTTGGGTAAACTGCTATGTCATAGCATTTGAATGGCAAAATATACTAGTGTTATATTTAGGGAATTAAAGACTGTGACATAAAACTCTAAATCCTTTCAAAAATTGTGGCAGTGACATTATAAGATGATAGAAGAGCTGACCTTTGCAAGTGATATAGCAACCTTTTAATACAGTAACTGCAACATTTTTAGTTTTGATTAAGCATAATGAGTGACATTGCCAAAATACATACCACATCAGTATACCACCCAATAATTATAACTGGAAGTTACTAGCTATCACAAGGGAAAGTGCTGCCATATAGTCTAATGTAGCAACCTTTCAAACATTACTAGTTTTGAAAACATAATGAGCGACATTTCCAAAATGCATACGCATCAGTAATACCACTCATTACAGTGAAAATACAAAAAGTGTCCCACTTCCGCTTCTGTAGTTTGTTGTGATTTACTGTAATTTGTTCTGTTTTTCTGTAGCGATTACCGATTTATCGGCAAATACCGCGATAAAACTTAGTTTTTTCTATTTTTAAATATGATAATTTGTAGCAAAGGGAAATAATACATTTTTCGTTAGTTTCATTGCATAAAAGGAACAAAATTTAAATTTTATCGCAGTATTTGCCGATAAATCGGTAATCGCTACAGAAAAACAGAACAAATTACAGTAAATCACAACAAACTACAGAAGCGGAAGTGGGACATTTTTTGTATTTTCACTGTAATTATGGGTGCACACCTTACTACAGTGTGACTCAACTTCCAAGAAAGTAAGCATTGATTAACTATGTTTATTGAAAACAGAAATCATCATTATTGAACAATTTTTTATGAAGCTTTTTTTGTGGAGGTATCGAGGAATGCTGAGGATACCTCCTGTCCATCTCCATACTCCTCATACTAACAGATCCAAGAAACATTCCCCTATAAATGTCTATATTCATCATTTATCCAATATTTTCTACAATGTTACTGTAGCAATAAAAAGTGTTCAAACTTACATTTTCAGTTCACTGGTATAATTACAGTAGGTTCTTAATTTTGTATTAAAAAATAAGAAAATTAACTTAAGTTCTGAGCTTTGTCAAACTTTCATAAGGACCATAAGGAATAATTTTCTCTAAATGCTTTTCCAAATTCCACTCTTTGCATGTATTTTTTGAGGATTCCCCTTGATCCCCCCCCCCCCCCCCCCCCCCCCCCCG